AACATTAATATTTTATTTATAAATTAATTATAAAAATATAATAAATACATTGTATGGACTAAAAACACATTGTCATAAATTTAAAAAGAAATACATTACCATAAGTTTAAAAGGAAGTTTTTTATAATGTATATTAAGGGTTTAATTATCATATTGTGTATATTAATTAATATTAAAAAATAAAAATTGATATTTAATTAAATAATTATTCAATTAAAATAATTTATATGACATTATTAATAAAATTAATAATAATTTTTATATTTTTAATATTAATTAATATAAAAAATATATAATAATTATATACTTAATTCATATTTAACACAAAAAAATCTATTAAAAAATTAATTTATGTTATGCAATCCGTTTGTTTGTTTTTTTTTTCCTTGGAAAGGCAATTAAAGTCCCCTTTAAAGTCAAACACAATTGGTTTTCCCCCACACAAAAAAGAGAGAAAAAGAAAGGCATTAAATTCAATCGATAGTTGAAAAAAGGAAAAAAGGGGAAAGGAAAAAAAAACAACGAAGGTGGTGGTCAGTGGTCTGCGCAGCTTCACCCTACGGCCGGAATACATGTGACGTAACGAGAAGGCTGTAAGTCTCAAGTAGCCCCCACTTTTCCTTTGCACAATTCGTGGGTTTGCACGCGCATTTGCAACTCCTCTTCTCTTTTCCATCTTCCTCCAACGAAAGGAGCTTTCCTGCAAACCCAAGACCAGCTACTGTACTTTCAAGATTCCAACTTGAATTCAGTTTCTTTAAAACTAGAGATATAGGTACGCAATTATTGAGTACTCTGCTTCTGGGTTTTCTCTTTTTCACATTTTGGTTATCTGGTTACTGCTGCATTCTCTCCATTCATATAGTGTAGGTATGAATCTTGGTGTTGACTGAAATTTGAGTATATGAATCGAACTGTAGCATGTTGATCTGTTTTTTGGTGTAAAGTTCGAGTTTTTTTATCTGGGTTTTACTTTCTGATCGACATTTGGAACTGTATTTGCTCATTACTGGTAAATCTTGTGTTTTTAGAGGCTGTTTCTGTTCATAGAATCCGGGTTACTAGAAAAGGAGTTATGTTAGAGTCGTTCTAGCCTAGTTTTTTGGAAGTGGATTTACTCCTGGCTTTGAGTTTGTCAATACAGTCTTAAGGGTTGAATTTTTGGCATTTAGTACTAAGCATTTGGCATGGTGCATTGTTAAGAAAGTTTAAAGATTTTGGTGTTCTTGATTCCCAAATTTGGTGCCAAAGTTTTGGTACGTGATCTGCTGCTTAGTTAGAGAAATATGACTTCAGTTTTACTCTCTCCAACTTCTTTGCCTTCTGTGATTTCCCCTTCATCCATTCACATATCACCGCCAACACCTCCTTCCTCACCCCCATCAAATTCCTCTATCACTTCACCACCTACTACCTCACCTCAGCTTGATCAGACCACTTCAACCCCATCAAATTCTTCAGCTCCGCCACCTCAATCCCCTCCTCTAGCTGTCCCTGATGCCCCTCCCCCCTCATCACCCTTGTCCTCTCCACCAGCACTGCCAACTTCACCTCCACCATCACCACCAACTTCGCCTCCTCCATCACCACCAACTTCACCTCCACCATCGCCGCCAACATCACCAGCTCCCTCACCTCCTGTAGTGCCACCACCATCACCTCCAACGTCATCCCTACCATCTCCACCTCCTCTAGTTTCATCCCCACCTCCACCACCAGGTGGTTCTCCTCCTCCTCACCAAGCCTCACCACCTCCTCCTCGCCAAGCCTCGCCACCTCCTCCAGTTGTAACTCCACCTCCACCTCAGGTCATTTCCCCTTCCCCTTCCCCACCTTCTCCAGCCAATATCCTATCTCCACCTTCACCGCAAGCAAAGTCACCTGCAAACTCTCCTCCACCACCTGCAACTACACCACCACCATCTACTTCTCAGTCTCCACCCCCACCTACAACAGATTCTCCCCCTACACCAGCATTGACATCTCCACCCCCTCCAGTTCCCTCAACCTCTTCATCTCCTGCAATTCCACCCCCTGCTGCTCATAGCAATTCATCAGGTGGAAGTCCTAGTTCATCACTCTCACCTGCCATCCCCACAAAGAGACCAACTGTTGCCAATGGGACCAACTCAACTTCTGGCAGTTCAGGTGGTTCAAAAACTGGAGGTGCCATTGCGGTGGGAGTTATAGCTGCATTTGTTGTTCTTGGTCTTCTTGTGATGGCTGTGTGGTTTGCACAGAAAAAAAAGAAAAGAAATGCTAGGGCAAATACTGGGTATACAATGCCTTCTCCATTTACCTCCTCTCATAATTCAGGTAACTCATTCCTTATGCTAAGTAACTCATAGCAGATATTTTATCATTGGTTGTATTTAAGTTTCTACTGTAGACAATTTTTCTGTAGATCCACTTGTGACATTGTTTAAAGCTCCACAAAATGCATGTATTTGTCAGTATGGGCTCATTTCATGGTTAAAAGTCTAAAATCCACATCCACAATCCTTAAATTTTTCATGGCAGAAAGGAGAAAATTTTTGCCATGGAGATTTGTTTTTTGGTAGGAATTGGGAAAGAATGAAAGTATTGACTAATAAGGAAAACTTTTGTCAATTACTATAAACAAGTTGATAATTTTTATTTCAGTGAATTCATGATGCCGTGCATTCCGATTATCGGGTTTTTAATGTGATATGTTAGGGTATATATGAAGATCTTATTTTTACATCTTGAGTACCTTAAATGCATCATGTGTTAATTCCATCTAGGCTGAGTTATGGCAATCTCACAAACTTTAGATATTAGTCCTAAACATGAAACCTTTAAGAAAAGGCCTGTTCTGGGGGACACAGGTGCTCTTTTAAAGCAGTTGATTTTGCCCTACATGATCCTATCCCATCTGAGGATTAGTGGCTCAAATCTGATCACTTAGGATTTAGGAAAAGGATGAAAATTTTTGGCTCATTGTGGCTCATTCTCAGACTCATATCCCATGTTATCCAAGTCACAGAACCAGTTAGGAAACAACTTTATACTGCTAGATTACATCCTTTGGTAGTGATCAATTTTCCATTCCTTTGCATTCCTAATCATAAGTAACTCTATTATCCTACTAAATTGGTATCAATATTTTCTAAAATTAACAGTGCCAATTTGAACTTTTCCTAAAAACTTGTTGATCAAGAACCATATACCTGAACTTGTTTTTTTCAAAATCCTATTGGAGGCCATGAACCTAAACATTCATTTCAGTCTCTTTTGCTATAGAGGTCTCAAGTTACATATCACACAACTAATATGGATTGCTCAGCACTTCTTATTTAGATTTTGGTCCATATCTGTAATTCATGTTTCCTCATGAGCAACACTTTAACATTAATGTAACTAGGATTTCTATACAGATTCAGCATTCCTTAGGCCTTATTCTCCTGCTCCTCTAGTACGAAATGGTTCGGAAAGTGATTTCATATATTCCCCAAGAGAGTCTGGTGGGATAAATAATTCAAAGTCATGGTTCACATATAATGAACTGGTCCAGGCTACAAATGGGTTTTCAGAACAGAATCTCTTGGGTGAAGGTGGATTTGGTTGTGTATACAAAGGTGTCCTCACAGATGGAAGAGAAGTGGCTGTGAAGCAGCTAAAGATTGGAGGTGGACAGGGAGAGCGTGAGTTCAGAGCAGAAGTGGAGATCATTAGCCGTGTACATCATCGCCACTTGGTTTCACTGGTGGGTTACTGTATATCAGAACATCAAAGATTGCTAATCTATGACTACCTCCCAAACAACACCCTTCATTACCATCTCCACGGTAAGCCATGCCTCTCAGCCTAGAATAAGAAAAGGTCTTAGACTCAACTGCCTTTTTTCCTTTGTACATTGGTGTTTTTTGGTGCTGCATATCTATGAGTTATAGGTACAATCTGAACTAGGTTGTGAATTAGGTATCTTTCTAGGAAAAAAAATAAAGTGCGCACAGAAAAGTGTCCAGATAACAAAAGAAAGAGGACTATAGAAATGTTCTTTGCAATAAATAACTCTTGCAAAGATTTTTGTTCTAATTTCCTGTATTATTTTGGAAATTGACAGGTAGAGGCAGGCCAGTCATGGATTGGGCAACTCGAGTCAAGGTTGCTGCTGGTGCAGCTCGTGGGATAGCTTACCTCCATGAAGACTGTAATTTCTTCTTCTACTCTTCTGTCTATTTCTTTTCTTACTTCAGTTGCAACTTACCTTTCACCTTTTCTTAGCACACATGCCATTTTAGTTGTAAATACCTTCATGTTTATGACTTTATTATGATGCCTTTGAGATTGATGTCAGTTGCTAAACTTCTTGAGGCACCTGAATGGTGTGATTGTAGCATCTGACAGTATGCTAGTTTCATTAACTCATAAAAGTGATTGTATACATCTAGATTTTACAGCATCTCCTTTGTCTTCCACCTGTTATTTTCATTATAACAGCTGAAGAAAATTCTTTTGATTTGTGATCAGGTCATCCCCGCATTATTCATAGGGACATCAAGTCATCAAATATTCTTCTTGACGACAATTTTGAGGCTCGGGTATGCCTTTCTTTGGAACCTATACTTTTGCAAATAACAATATTTGATTTTGAATTCATTACATCTATCAGCTCTTGTTAAATCAAAGACTATCTTAGTCATATATTTGTAAGATCAACATTTATATCATTTGACTGGAAGCTTCATAAGATTCTGTCTCCAGTTATCTTTGTCCCACAATTCTTGTTTCTACTATCAGGTATCAGATTTTGGACTTGCCAAGTTAGCATTGGAGCTGGACTCGAATACACATGTGTCAACACGTGTGATGGGAACCTTTGGGTAGGTTGATTTTTCCTGCTTGTTTTATTTTTTAATTCCTATGCCTATTTTGTGTAATAATCAAGTTTTGATGCTGTTGCAAAGCTGGCATCAAGATGTCTATCTCTACTTATTTGAAGCACACAGGATTTTACCTTAAAGGCTTTGATATGGTCTTAGAGTTTGCATGTGATACATGGTTAATGTTTTGTATGGAAGAAACTAGTGAATCTAGTAGATTCCTTACATGTGCTGTATTTCATGTTGATTTGGTCAGTGACATGTTCCATGCTATGAAATATGAATCCTACTTTGTTTGCCTTTCTTTTGGCACTTCTACTGCTTTTGATAAATGGAAATATTATTTTCCAGATACATGGCTCCAGAGTATGCAACAAGTGGCAAATTAACTGAAAAATCTGATGTTTACTCCTTTGGGGTTGTTCTTCTGGAGCTAATAACAGGTCGCAAGCCTGTTGATGATTCTCAGCCTCTGGGTGAGGAGAGCCTGGTTGAATGGGTCAGTCCAGTGAATTTGAAACTTGAGCCATTCCTAGTATATATCTTGTATTTGTCAAAAATTTTGCATCTTTAATAATAAAGTGGAGTCTACTCTGATCCTGGAATTTTTGAAAAGTTTAGATTTTGCTTCAAAATTAGATCTTCTGCTGGTTGACGTTTTAAGAAATTCAAAATTTATCAGATCAAGGTTTCAAATCCAGCATAATGTCTTAGAAATTCCAAAATGATAAAAGTTACAATCTCAGAAGTCTGTGCTGAGTATCAATTTATAGAATTTGTTATGCTGTTCCAAAACTGCAATCTTGATGTGATTCAAACTTGTTCCTCAGGCTCGACCATTGCTTACTCAAGCGCTAGATCATGACGAATATGGGGAGTTGGTAGATCCGAGGTTGGAAAAGAATTACATGATTCCTGAAATGTTTCGAATGATTGAGGCAGCTGCAGCTTGTGTGCGACATTCAGCTGCTAGAAGGCCACGGATGAGTCAGGTAATTTTGCTCAAAAGTAGTATAAAGGTTTCTTGATTACTCATCAGGCCTGATGATTCTCACCCTGAATCATTATCTTAGGTGGTGAGAGCTCTAGACTCATTGGACGGGTTATCAGATCTCACAAATGGAATGAAACCTGGCCAGAGTGAGGTCTTTAATTCAGCAGAGCAGTCTGCACAAATCAGAATGTTTCAGAGATTGGCATTTGGCAGTGGTGGTCAAGACTACAGCACTAGTTTCTTTAATCAAACCCAGAGTAGCTGGACGAGTCAAGATCATGGGAGTCAGGGTGGCTGGAGGAGTCGAGATTATCGGAGAGAAGGTAGCTGGAGCCAAGAGCATAGGGACATGCCTTAATGCCATGAATGCATCAGGTTGTGCAGGTCGAGACATGTTTAATTCTCTGCCTTCCAAAGGTGTTGTGCCTGATGCATTCTCAGACTTCAAAGGCACATTACTTGGAAGGGATGGCAATTCATCTTGATTCTGGAATGAGTTTCAACTTTCACGGGGTGCATGGAATCAGTTATAGCCGCTCATTTCATTTCCGTGTACATTCTTGTGCATTTTATCTTGTTTTTGGCTTCCCACTTCACTTAGCTTCTCTCTCTCTCTCTCTCTCTCTCTCTCTCTCTCCTTAATAAAAGAAGCACATATGATTTTGCATGTAATTCCTGAAGTTGTATTCTTGATGATTTAGATTGATTAATACAAGAGTTCAATACATGATTTTCCCTTGTATTTTGTTGGATTTAGTGATTAACAACATGGTATCCGACAACTTCTGCTTAAAATGGTAACTACTCTCTTAACTATTGGTTTCTTCTGGTAACTAATCAATAGGAACTATATTAAATTTTTTTTTAATTATTATTTATTTATTATGTAAAATTATCTTGTTAAATTTTATCTAAAAATTAAAAATTAAAGTAGGACAGGGGAGGGAGGGTTCCATAAGCACAATTATATGTTCCATTATGCCAGTACCTGAAAGTCAGCCTCAAGAACCCCTAACAAATGAGTAAGCATGGAGATTGGACTCCTCGACCAATCAGCTGCTGCCACGCTTGCCAATCATTCTATGGACAATTTGCAGATTAAATCGGTCGCTGCAGTCTATACTTACCCCCCTCGTGATGGCCGTCTATCTACCACACTGCCCCTATTACAAAAGCTTAAAGGTCAAGCCGTCAAGCCTTTTCTCTTCAGAGGGATATATGGAGATGGAAGACGTGGCACTGTCGAAGCCGTTAGTGCTGCCGGTTTCTAGGGAAGAAGAAAGGAGGTGTTTTGGCTTTGGGGGTGTTGTTAGTCCTGGTTTGACTGCCAGAGAGAAGAAACTGATTTGTGTGACTGGTGGGAATTCTTACTTGGGTTCTTCCGTTGTCAAGGAGCTTTTGGCTAGAGGTTACCTTGTTCGAGTCATCATTGAAAACCCAGGTATGTACCTACACCTGTGTTTAAAGTCCCCTTTTTTTCCCTTGCATGTGTAAGTCTCACAGCAAACAACAAGGAAATGAATTTGGAATTTGGAATTTGATCTGTTTTTTTTTTCATCTTCATTTTCGTTGTTAGTGGTGCTATTATGTTCCTTCTGTGTTTTTGTAAATGCATAGTGGAATTTGAAGATGTGAAAGAAATGATGGGAGATGAAGAGCTAAATTTATTGGAAAGCGTTGTGGTGGCAAAGATGGGAGACTTGGAAAGTCTCTGTGATGCTTTTAGAGGTTGCCATGCTGTTTTCCATACCTCCTCCTTTATAGATCCACATGGGATCTCTGGTTATACGGTAAGATTTCAATTTCAACCCTTCTGAAGATCTAAGGAAAGATTGAGAAAAAAAAAAAAAAAAATCTTCCTAACATGGGCCGGCTGTAACACCACTATCATTCTTGTGATGCAGTATCATGGACAAGATTCTGAATTTCTCCATGTTCTTTTTGTGATCTGTTTGCATAATTGATTTCAGGAACAAATGGTATTTCTTGAGACTGAAGGGGCAAGGAATGTCATGGAAGCTTGCTATGAGGCAGCCTATGTGAAAAGATGCATCTTTACTTCTTCTCTTCTTGCATCCATATGGAGAGGGGAAAATGTTGGTGGCCGTGTTGATGAGAACTCTTGGAGCAGTGAGGAATTCTGCAGAGAAAATAAGGTACTTCAATTACTGAGGAATCCTTCATTTCTATTGTCTTTGTCCCTGTACTACACTTCTAAGATATATTCTCTGTTTTGCAAAACAGCTTTGGCTTGCATTAGGTAAGACCAACGCAGAGAAGGTTGCATGGACAAAGTCTAGAGAACTGAGAGTAAACCTTGTAACAGTGTGCCCTGGACTTCTCATGCCACCAACATCCTCATCTGGTCTTGCAGAAACATCTTCACCATATCTTAAAGGTGTGTGTATATATACATTCAATACTAGCCTGGGATAAGAGAAAACTTGAGGCATTCATGCTTTTTTAGAAATTTCCCAAAACACATACAAATTATAAGACATGAGAGCAACCTTTTGTATGCAGGTGGCAGGATCATGCTACAAAAAGGCTTATTAGCAGTAGCAGATATGAAGAAGGTGGCTGAAGCTCACGTCCATATTTATGAAGCCATGGATTATGGAGCTTGTGGACGGTATCTCTGCTTTGAGAAAGTAGTAAGAAGGTTAAATGAGGCCACTGATCTTGAGAACAAGCTTAAGATGCCTGGTTCATTGTCAAGAGGAGGGCAGGGAACCATATCAGAAGATGCAGATGAAGAAATTGAGAACAATATTAGTAATTCAAAGCTTGCAAGACTCTTACTTCAAGCTTCTCAATACATCTCTTGTAAGGAATGAAATGATCAAGTTCTTGAACGTTTTTGTTGGATGTCTAGAAAGAAATCACAGCAAATCCATCCAGAGAAGTTCAAATTTTGCAAGTCTTAGCCACTACTAATTTTGATTGAATGGAAGTAAAATGAATTGCTGGAAATGGTCATGAGAAAATTTTCATAATCATAAATAAAACTTGATTGCAAAAACAGAATTAAAAAAAGAAAAAGAACTCAGCACAACCTAGCTTGTAGCTACCAACAAATTTTCATTCTTGACTTTGATTTCTTGCGTGGGTATGTAACTAGCAAAGGAACCCTTGAACCAGAACTAGCAATTCTTTAAAAAATTCAAGCTGCACAATATAATATATATATATATATATATTATATAAATAAACATGTCAACCCAAAAGAAATAAATAAAAGGATTCTGTGTTAAATGGTGACAGCCCTGATATTAGGAGCCGTGAGAAAAGGTTGCGGATAAAAAAATTAATTTTGTCATTTTTTTAATGTAAAGATGTAAATTTTATCAATTTATAAATAAAATGTTAAATTTTTAATTTTTTATTTAAAAATATTAATTTTATATTTTTTAATTTAAAATTAATTTGATAATTAAAAAAAATAATTTGTTATGTCAACATTATTACTCAATTAATTTTTAAATAAAAAAATATAAATTAACAATCTTAAATAGAAAAATTAAAAGTTTACTATTTTATGACAAAATTGATAAAGATTGTATTCTTACATAAAAAAAATGGTGAAATTCAGGCAAAAGGTATAATTTCTAC